AAGGTGAACAACGGCCGGTGTGACCACTACTGCGAAGAGGAGGAGGCGGCTGGGGGAGGGCGCAGGGGGGCAGTGTGCAGCTGTGCGCCCGGATATCATCTCGCCAGGAACAGGCGATCCTGCATGGCCACGGGTAATGGAATCATCCATCATCATCATCATCATCGTCGTCAACATCGTCAACATCGTCGTCATCAACGCTGAACATTCACACTGCGCCTCCCATGCGGTACGGTAAAGCCCCGGTTTATGTCGGGGATGCGTTCCTGAGAGGTGCGGCGACGGATATCGAAACAACTTAAAATCTAAGCGGTTTGAAGGGTAGCGGTGGGTAGTAGCGAAGGCCGAGAGGCAACGGATAACGAGAGGACGGACCGCGATGCTGTCAGCGACGCGAGACGTGGGGTTGGGTGGCGGTATTCATAATAAAGTGACGCATTAGCGAAACGACGTACGAAAGGAGGTTAGTCGTACACCGGAGTTTTCGCTGTACCAAGTCGAGGCGCTCGGGAGGGGAGGGGGGGGGGGCCTGGCTGGCAGCTCTTCCAGGAACCGGCCGAACATTCCACGAGGCTCCCTTGCTGCCCCTTTTACGCACGTCGGGTTCGTCGGGTTCGTCGGGTTCGTCGGGTTCGTCGGGTTCGTCGGGTTCGTCGGGTTCGTCGGGTTCGTCGGGTTCGTCGGGTTCGTCGGGTTCGTCGGGTTCGTCGGGTTCGTCGGGTTCGTCGGGTTCGTCGGGTTCGTCGGGTTCGTCGGGTTCGTCGGGTTCGTCGGGTTCGTCGGGTTCGTCGGGTTCGTCGGGTTCGTCGGGTTCGTCGGGTTCGTCGGGTTCGTCGGGTTCGTCGGGTTCGTCGGGTTCGTCGGGTTCGTCGGGTTCGTCGGCTCCGACTCAGCGGCGACGTCGTCTCCAAGTTGCCACGATGACCGCGAGTCCTGCGGCGGTGGCCTTTGTGCAGCACCGACCACCGTGGAGACACAGCCGATGAAATCACGTTCGTGTGCCGGTCGCGTCGACGATTATGCTGCTGGTTGTGGTTGTGGTGACGGACGAACGAATCGATCGCGTTTGTGCCACCGCAGAGGCGTTCCCGTGTGGCCGTGTCGCCTCGCCCAAGTCCGATATTCTCATGGGAAACTCCTCCGAGGCTGCTACTGACGTCCCGACGCCCACCTCTCAAGCTGCCAACGTCAACAGCAGCAGCATCATAGGCGACGACTCTGAGCCTCAAGCTTCGTTCGGACAATCGAACCACAGAGGGCGCGTCGTGGGAGGCAAGGAGTGTCCGCGTGGGCAGTGTCCCTGGCAGGTGAGGTCGTCATGGTGACTAGGAGATGTTAACTTCCTCGCCTGGTATGCAGGAGGTCGTGGATTTGATCCCAACCCTGACGCCTGCTGTATATATGGACTGTGCGTGTCTCTCTCCCAGTGGTCATGTGGATTTTTCTCTGGGTCCTCCGGTTTTTCCCCTCCGCATTGAGAATCAACATCACGCGATTGGATTATTTGGTGGCTGCGAGAGATTTCCACGCGATAAGCCACTTCGTTGAGCTCTCATTTGTGATTGCCAGGCCGCTTATGAAAACGCGCTACAGAGTAGCTCAGTGGGCCTTACACCTGGTGACAGCGAAGTAGGCGAGACGTAAAGGCGCAGCCCCGCAACTGCTTCTCGCGCCACTGCTGGAGGAAGAGGCCTACGCGAGGGGGAGCTCCAGATGGCTCGCTCTAGACTCGAAAGGAGTAGTTCTTCACCTTTACTGCAACCTTGCACCCCTTTGGTTCTCAATCGTAAAAAAAATGTTAATAAATACACAGGTTTCTACTTACGGGCCCATGCTTAATTTGTTCTTTTCGATGATTTACCGCGTGAGAAAATCTGGTCATGTCCCGCACCCCCAGAAAGGTTGACTCGCACCCCAAGGTTAAGAACCACTGCTGGAGAGGTTACTCCGGCCCAATTCATCCACTCTGCTGTGTTGGAAGAGGTGGGAGTCCCGACGTTTTTACAACCACCACATGCTGCTGCTGCTGATGATGATGCCGCCGATGATGCGAGACCACGAACAATTCCTCTCTTTGCAGGTGCTGATTAGCCGCAAGGGAGCACCCGTGTGTGGAGGAACCATTCTCAGCCCCCAGTGGATCCTGACAGCCGCGCACTGCACCATATACGAGACCAAGAACCTTCGAATATTAGCTGGCAAGTTGAACACCCGTCGTCGTCATCGTCGTCAGTCTTGGTGGCAGCACAGGGCAAACAAAAATGGCCGGGTGTGGTTTCTGGCCACCCCATTAGCCCCCAAATGTGCAGTCCACACTTTCATGTGTGTCTAAGAGCATCACCGGCCTGATAAAGGCTGCATGGTGCATCGTTGGTCTCTTTGTACGTGGACTGCGTGTGTGTGTGTATGTGTGTGTATATGTGTGTGTGTATATGTGTGTGTGTATATGTGTGTGTGTATATGTGTTGTGGGGAGCGGTAGTGTAGTGGTTAGCGCGCTG